AAAAAATATTTTCTTCACTACTTTGTGTCTGCCTGTCACAAAATGCCATGGTATTTAATACACAGGCATGTTTTGCTTTAATGAGACAAAATGTTGAACAGTACATGAACTGTTTCTACTTGTTAATGCATTGTACTTGTGTGGATTATATAAGCAGAATGAAGCAATTATGTATTTATCCACATCAGTCATTGGATTAAAGTCCTGCTGGTTGTCTTCAGACATATTAGATCACGAGTGCAATGGAAGAGAAGGGATAGGGTTACCCAGATAACCCACTACTTCATTAAACTTGCATTAGTTTATAATACCAGAACTTGGTCTGCGGCACATAATTAGCCAGATTGGCTCATGTTCTCCATGTCTTTAACTGTAGGGAGCTTTGCTTCATGTCAGGACTTCTCTGCCGTCTAATTGAACAATTACATATTGAGTCTGTAAGTTGAAAACCTTTGTGGTGCAGCTGTTGACAGACAGCAAGCTGTTACACCTTTAGTGAAAAGCTTCCTCAGCCTGGAGAATCAAACTCCACAATTTCCCTGCATTACTGGCAGTGGTTTACTGTCTTAAATTGTCGACAAAGGAGCAAAGACAGCTACCGGTACATATTTCCATGCTGACCAGAGGCTAATATTTAGCGCCACAAAACCAGATTTACCTTATTAAGAGTATTTCATTTACACTAAATGGTGCACAAAATTTGAACAATGTACATTTGTTTTTATTTACACTCATTATATAAATCTACTTGCTTGATCAAGCAGTACAGCAACAGTACACTTCTGGAATAAGTGTGGGATTTTTTAGAATGATTTTAATAAAACTGTTGTTTTCAATTAAATGGAGTATTAATGTAAATATGTCAACAAAAGTTTCAGGTTTTTTTCTGACGTTTCATCCTTGAAAGAAAAAATAAGCTGTTTAGCATGCCAATGACATTATTTGAACACATTTATTATTGAGAGCAGCCATACCTGATTGATACGAAGGCAGATTCTATAACTTCAAATTCACAGGGATTAGGGTGAAAACATTGTAACTTGTCTTAAAGTAAAAATCTATATATTATGTCCTAAAAGATTGTCCTTGTTTTACCCCCTTTGACAATAACAGTGCTATAAGCTGCTGAGGAATCATTCCTCCACTCAGCTGTCTTAAAGAGGAAAATATACTTGTCAAGTGTCAAGAGCAGCTTGTCAGCCGTTTGAGTTGTCAGCAGAAACTGCTGAATGCTTTTATATTCACCTATAGCTGAAACAAACCACCATCAAATCCCAGATATGTGATTTCTGAGAACTCTGAAGTGTCATTCTTAGTTTCTCAGTGCCTGCAAATACCTTCCATAAAAATGTCTTACCACATCTTTCTACGAAAATGTTGTTCAAAGCATTGAATTTGACTGACCAACTTAATGTAATGCAAAATTACACATAGTTTTAGATCTATTACAACCAGAAAATGAAAAGGATATATTAATATATCTTCAATCAGGTTGTTGCTTCTGATGTATGTAGCTGAAGGTCTTATTAGCAATGTGTCTACCATCTTTGAACATCTCCAAACCAACATTTATGCTACTTATTTTCAGCACAATAGCTTCAGCTTGGTCAGAATGGGTGTAGATGATAAATTTTCAAGTTTTGCTGCACAAAAACATGTTCGTAATTCAATCTAAATATTCTTTATCTCATTGCATGTCCATTTAGTCAGTTAAAGGCAAAATGCTACGTGTTTGATGCCCTATATTAGGTTTTGCATGCAGGTCACAAAGTTAAACTTTAGTCTCAAAAGACTAGATCACACAGCTTTACTCCGCCCCCTATACAGCGTGTTGCAAACAGTAGATGACAGTAATTGCATCTTTCTTTTTCGGAGACAACTTTCCATAAAGGGCTGATTCATAGAACACACAGCCAACAGATTCTTCTACCTGAGCTTTTGATCTCTGCAACTTCTCTAGAGTTTTTCTTATTTTCTTGCATCTGTGATCATTGCTGTCTATTACAATTGAGATGCTCAAAGCTTTGTCTACTGCATAATGACCTAACCTTGTTTTAAAAATGTCCAAAACCTCCCTGCTGAGTTAACATTCTCATTCAATTTCCCAATTGTGTGGCACTTTGGGTTGGTCAGTTTTCACAAGGCACCATATTAGCTCATATTTAATGTACCCCATTAGTTCATAATGTCTCTCAATGTACTCCTGCTTGGCTGCACACAATGACAAGATGATACAGTTAGCTATATGATCTGAATAGCAGAGGGAAAATAAAGACATCTACAACTATGATACTTTAATGAGGCTCAGTTATGTTAGTCATGAATCAATCTTTTCAGATATATTTATTTGTGCTGATGTAGTATTCACACCTCTGGTGCATTTCTTAAAGTGTGACACGTTCAGCAGAATCCCTTTGCAGTAATAACTCCGAACAAACGAATTCTCGCCGTGTGGGTTTTGAAAGGCCTCACTTGTAGCCTATGTGGTGCTAGATTAAAGGATTTGCATTTTAAAAGGGTATCAACCACGGCAGCCGAAAGGAAACAGGTGAATACAACTGTAGCAGCACAACAAAGGATCAGAAATTTAAGTCATGCAGAGTTAACAAAATGACACAGACTCTTTCACTATGCCAGAGATCCTCCACAGAAGCACATAGGGATGGAACACATAAAAAACTTTGTACTTAATTTATCAACTCCCATATGCTAAAGGTGCTGTTAGATAAAATATATCATTGTGTTTAGATGACGTTCAATGATTCAAAACATGGGTGAAGTTAAAATGCATTTAAAATGCATTTAAAACGCAGGAGTAATAAGATTTAAGACAAAAAAGGAATAATGGATTTTGTGTTGATTCTCAGAACATGGAGTTGCCTCTCCAGGGCCAGTCATGGTTAAACTCTGTTCTGTGCACTGTGACTTGCTCAAGGCGGTGTCTGTAGTGATATTAAAAAAGAAATATTGCTTCATAAAACCCTGCAGCGCTGGAACCATGACTTCTGCTAATGCAGAATTTTCCTGAAGTTTGTCTCTTGGAGAGTAAATAGGATTTTTTTTATTTGTTGCCCAATAGTAAGACAATTAGTGTTAGCAAATTAACCAGCGGTCCTATCGGCTAAAAGAGAAAGACACCTTGGAGAACAATGTTCACTCATGCTGTTATTTTGAACATTTTTTTGCATGAAGGTCTCAGTGAGGACAGTGCTTAATGTTAATATAGACTTCACAATCCACTCATCATTTACAATGCAATTTGCAGTTCAAACACGTTGCTGTGGCCATCTGGACTCAGGAGCAATGAGAATGAGCAAAGGACACTTTACCCTTGAGTCCTGTTGAAGGGAAGCTAATGAAGAGGTGGAAAGTTTGTAAATACCTGTACTTCTTTAAACCCAAGATGCCTGAATATAAAAAGTAGAATTTATATCTAGAACTAACCTTCTTCTTTATTTCAATATCCTGAATCCCATTCAGGGTTATTCCTCATAGGCTACCTCCCTCAGCTCATAGATCTGATGTCTCACTCAGGGCTGCGTAGCACTGCTGCCATTACGCTGTAGCTACTTCCTGACCAGTGCATCTGTGTTTCTTTGTGCTTATCTTCTTTCTTCTCAAACCCCACAGTCCATCGCAGCAGATAGGCACTCACACTGAGCCCAGTGCTGCTGGAGATTCCTTTTTGTTAGAAGAACTCTTACTTTTTACTGACACTACAGCACACTCAGCACAAAGTAATCACTGGAAGCCTCAAACTGTCTATTGACTCAACGCTTATTCAGGAGAAAGACTGGAAAATCAGGGATTTGAGACAAGTCAAATGTGTTTCCTCTCAACCAGATGATTAACCAAAGATATATGGCTATATATATATATATATCAGTAGATATAAGTAAAGGCAGCATTTGTTTAAAATGTGTAATAACATTTTTTAAACTAACTGTATCGACATTTACATTTATTCCTTCCTTGCACAGCGTCACTATCACTTTACTTCGATTAATAGTTATACATATGCATATATATATATATATATATATATATATATATATATATATATATATATATATATATATATATATATATATATATATATATATATGGAGCGTGTAACAAAAGAAATTTCCCTCTGGGATTATTAAAGTATTTCTGATTCTGATCAATTGGAACAGATAAGTGTGTGATATACTGAAAAATCATATGTAATCTTTATACCACTTAAATTATTTATTTTCATTGTGAAAAATACTTCACTGATCCCAAAAGGAAATGAAACGTACTAATTTATGGTTGTATATGTTAATATCTGTGAGCAGGAAGGATCTTCTGAAGCCTGTTTTATGTTTAGATTTATATGTTCTAGAATACCTGTCTGTGTTTTAGATGGGAACACCTGTGAAAGTGCAGCTTTTACCTCATTTTTTAAATCAACATCTTAGCTGCTGGAGGTGATTTTTAATCAATTCAAAACATATTTTTTTTTATTGAAAGTATGAAAATTATGTTTGTGCTTATTTTTTTAGATAAATAACCGAATTCGTGGTAAACAAAATACACACAATTTCTCTTTTTAACGTTGTTAAGATAATTATTATTGAAATGAAATGATGTTTTCTGATTAAGGTTAATTGATAGTGATGCCACACTAAGCTTTGAAACGAGCCACTATTGCGCTAAGAAAAAAATACTGAATTTGTGAATTAATTTGAAAGTAGTTCTCATTTTATGATTTAAAGTGTCTCGTAAAAAAGTGTATTTTTCATGTTTAGGATAGAAAGTTATTTCTCTTTATATTTCTCTCTCTTCCCTAGAAAGGGTTTGATGGGGCCAAGTAGTGGAAGGCAGGTTTTAATGAATCTAGTGCCAGGGGCCACAGGAAGGAGCGCAGTTTCAGAGGTCCGGTAGGTGGCAGTGAGTGTTCTCATGTATGAGGAGGACAGGTTGGAGGAGGTAGGGGGAGACGTGTTTCTCTCGCTCTAGCCCTCCAGTGTTGCTTAGTCTGGAAAAAAAAAAAAAAAAACTGACGTGCGTCGGAACCGAGCGGTCAGAGCGAAAGCTGCGTATGTCTGTGTGCGCGTGGCTGCGTGGGAGTGTGACTGTGACAGAGTTGCGCCGGGGCAGAGCAGAGGAGTCCCCGTGGCTCTCCGCCGGTGTTCCGTCAGAGCGGCGAACCAAACGCGCACTTTCTGCGCAACGAGCCTGGCGACGCGCTCCGGACCCGGTCGGTTGGCCGAGCGTGACCCGAGGACCCCTCCACTCATTCCGGGCAGCGCTGATCCAAACGCTGGAGCTCAAACAACATTCAATGACTTCAGAGCGATGAACTGGAAGTATGGCCAAGTGGTTCAAGGAGCACCTAGGATTCAAAACTGCCAAAGCACCCCCCCCGGCGCCTCCAAAACCGGACTACAGACACTGTCACAGCGGTGCGCCCGGAGCGCAGCAGACGGGCTCCGGAGCCACTTTTCCGAGTCCAGCTCAGCCGGACATCCTCGCTGCTTACAAACTACAGAAGGAGTTGGACTTCGAAGACCCGTACACTCCGGGTGGAAATATTTCTTTCGGTTCGAGTTTGAACTCTGTGGTCCCGTCGGATAACAAGTATGTGTCGCCGAAGCACCGATTGATTAAAGTGGAAACCATCGAGAAGAGCAGCGCGGCTCCGGGCGGCGGGGTCACCGTCACCCAGGCGGTGGCTCTGGGGAGCGTGAAGTCTCTGACTTCTTCACCTCCTTTGGAGCAAGACAGCAAGGAAAAGGTGAGAGAAGTTTGATAGCAGAAACTTAAAAAAAAAAAAAGATTTGGACAGTTGAATGAAAATAGAGCATGTTTTATATTCTCTGTCTCAGAGAAAATAAAGTTAGAAAGGTTGTTTCTCAGGACTTGCCTAACTCCTAGTGAACTGGCAGAACTTGTTATCACGGCAGCATGAGTTGCGCCATCAGCTTCAGTCTAATATCCAACCTGCACCTCAGGGAGTGCTGTCATATATTATCCAGCTCAACTCCACATGCATTGAACACAAAGCTGCTGTCTTTCCCTCAGACATGCATTCCAATCCCCTAACTTTAAAAACTGTCTTTCTCCATCTAAGGTGATCTGAGGTAATCCCTGCTTGCCTTGAATAGACAACTGGGCTGCATGGCTTTAATTTCATTATCTCCCCTAAAACATCTAACCATACCCATCTAGCAGGTGGACCCTGGAAGAAAGTGTGCAGGTTTTGCCATTTCTTTTCAGAAATCCATTATCTGGATTGATCTGTTCAGTAACTGAGAGTGATCCACCTGAGGAATGTTTCTCCATGTTTGTATTCCTTATCAAAGCAGATGAAAGCCCTGTGAACACCCCCGCCCTGCAGCACTCATACCATGCCTCAGTCACATAGAAATCTTTTGTGGCCCCCTGCACTTTCTTTTCCATTACTTCCTCTACACATTTTCTGCTTTGGTGACATGAGGCAACTTTAGTTAGCTTTCATTCAGGGCTTTTACTGATATTTCGCAATGCCTCCAGCCTGTCACAAGCATGTTGTATTAAGGAAGATGGAGATTTGTACTCCACCGTCAGTGGTTTGATGACACTATGAGATAAAGGCAAATGTGGGGGGCATCTGAGAGTGAAGATAGTCTATATAGGTTTTTATCCGCTGCCAAATAAACTTGTTTTCACCTAATTGTTTAAATCGTCACCTAATCATTTAAATGCAGGTTCAATAATAACATAAGCATAAGTTATCTGCTTGTGCTTCTAACGTTTCTCTCTTATAATGCGCAGACGGAGCTAAAACTGACAGTTGGTAGGATGGTATGAGCCTGACGTTATGGCCCAGCTAAAGCAGCAATGACAGCTGGTGGGCTTATGTGGAGAAAAGGAAGGTTGGAGAAATATGGTGGGAGATGGGATTCACCTAGAACACCCTGCAGATAATATATCACCTTTGGATGGGTGGATCCAATGGTGATTATATTTAGAGGTTTCAGTTTCTACCATGGCCACAGAGGGGATAAAAAAAAAAAAAAACATCTTGTAAGCATGCTGGCTCCTTGTAGAAGTATTGGTCACATTTTAAGGCAGTATATCCAGACTCTGAATTTTGTTTGCTCTTCGCAGGTTTATATTTGTATATTTAAGGTCGGCAACTAACAATTATTTTTGCTTATCTGTTTTTTTCTGAGTAATCAATGAATAATCAGATAGCAAAAGGTTCTTTTTTAGAGAATTTAAACCAGGTGTTACGGAAGAGGATTAGGGCCACTCAAAAAAGTTTAATAAGGTAACTGATTTTTAAATATTATTTTAGTTTAATATGAGAAAAAAGTCAGAATTTTGACTTTAATCTCAGAATTCTGACTTTTTTCTCAGAATTCTGACTTTTTTATCAGATTTCTGACTTCAATCGCAGAATTTTTTATTTTTTTCCCTCTGAATTCTGACAGCTAACAAACATGTTAGCATTGAGCTGTAGCCATGTCTGTTTTAGAGACTAGCTCTCTTGCTTAAATGACCTTCTGCTCCTTCAATAATGAAATGGCACGTAAAAAAAGTTGCCTTATTTTGTAATTTTTCACTAATGTGTTACGGGCCCTCCCAAATAACTCACATCTTTGTCAGTGAAGCTGAGTGCTCCCACATCTCTTCCTTCATAGTGCCCATCTACATTAAGATCCAAAATTCTGAGATTAAAGTCAGAATTTTAAGATTAAAGTCAGAATTCTGAGAAAAAAAGTCAGAATTCTGAGAAAAAAAGTCAGAATTCTGAGGAAAAAGTCAGAATTCTGATTTTCTTCTCATATTATACTGAAATAAAATTAAAAAATCTGTTAACTTTTTTTATTTTTTCAGTGGCCCTAATCCTCTTCTGTAAGGTAAAATGTCCCACTTGAGGATTTCTTGATATAGCATATTGACTGCCAAAATTTTTTATTTATTTTTTTATCTTAAAAGCAAAATTATATATTTTTTTTACAATGTTGGTATATCTAGAGCTCTACATGGGTTGCTCTGTTAGCTAATGGAATGTTCCAGAGTTCTTATATTCCAGTTAACAATTAAGCAATTACTAAATTAGTTGATGATTATTTAAATAAACGATTAATCGCAATTAGCTGATTAATAATAATTGTTTCCGGGCTAGTGTATTTCATTTTCACTATCAGGTGAAACATGATCACGTTATGAAAACAGTTATTCCTTCATAGCTGCACAGCTTTAGCCTTTAGTAAGCTTAGTGTGTGTGTGAGCTGGCTATTTCATCTCCTTTTGCTCCAGATGGTAATTGTTTGTGAAAAGATGTTAGTGAAACTGTTCAGGTGAGGATAAAATTAGATTTAAAAAAGATGTGGAAATAAAAACAACTGTAGCGGCAATATTAGTTGGAGGATGATCTATTTGCCTTGTTCTGTTTCCTGTCCTGCTAGAAATTGGTGTTAAAAGGGTCAAAATGCTTGATGTTTTTATTTAGAATAGAATAGAATAGAATTCAACTTTATTGTCATTGCACTGTCACGAGTACAAAGCAACGAAATGTAGTTTGCATCTATCCAGATGTGCTATACAGGATATACATATTATTACAGGTTCTGGATGGTGGTAAAATGACCTTTTCTGATTAGATTCCCCCAGGCCAATTTTTACTTGTAGACCATACGTTTCTTGGGTTTGATTATTTTAATAATTGGAAAGAAATGTTTGTTTTTTTCTATGAATTTCCTGATCAAACGCATCCAGTCCTGAGTGGTGGTTGATGGTTTTGTGTGTCTCTAGTTATTTCTAAATTAATTTTTCACGTATCTATCCATGTGAGCTCATAAAGGAATCTGTCCATCTTCTGACGGAATGTGCTTAACACTGACTTCTGACTGAGCAAAGAGCACCAGAGTGTCTTAACTCCACTGCTCGGTTATATCGATGTTTTAATTCCTTGACTCATGAATTCTAATTATATCACCGCTTTCCTAATGCCTGGAATGCCAATATTAGCATTAAGGGTCTTTTCTTCATCAATTTCTATCCAGCAGACTTCAGATGAAGAAAAAGCCTTGAAATCCAAACTGAAGCTCTGTTGTTTTAGTATGTTTTTGTCTATATTTTTATATGAAGTCATCTCCAAATGTTGTTTTATTTCTGTCTTTCTCTTGATGCAACGCTGCTCATTTACCTTACAGTTGAAAGTTTACAGGAAAATGTGAGTTGTTTTGTTTTTAATTACACCAAGCCCTTCATGGTAGAGTTAGCTGAGAGAGATGATCAATTATCATCCTGCCTGGAAACTAATTAAAGGCCTCATGTCCCAGCTCATCGCTCCACTCAGCGCTAAACTAACTCTTCTCAAGGACGCCCAAAGTGATGACGGGCTCTTTTTGACAAATGTGTAAACAGGAGCAGTTGGTTGAAGCTGACTGACAGGCTACTGCTGCACCGTGAAGCTCCACACGTTATCGTTGCTATCTGTTTGTTCACCTGGGGAACTTTTGTTTGGCTACCATCAGCACTCGCACCAGCTTGTAGATTTATCGATGGAAACACGTTGGACGGGACTCTTTAACAGTTGCTTGGGGGGATATTGGTGCATCAAATTCTGTGCGATGAAAAAAAAAACCCAGCAACTCTGCCTTGTGTCAAATGTATAAATTGTTTTAGGTGTTCCCACTATAGAGGCAATAGGAAAAGCCCTCCTGTTTTCAATTGGACTGAGTTTCAGCCCTAAAGCTTAGAATGCCAGAGAAAAAAAAAACTCCTTTTGTAATTCAATTTTCAGAAAATCCATCTCACAGGCCAATCGATATGAATGCATATGTAATATATCTGAAGAGAGGATCTTCGATTGGGAAGGTCTGTTGCTCAGTCGTAGAATTTGCAGAGGTCTTCGGTGGATCTTAGTATGAGGCTTTGCTTTAATACAAATAAACAACATATATAACTGATCTTCATTTTTCCAATGCTTAACATCTTGACAGAAAAAAACTGGATGAATAAGCGAAGATAAAACTATTGATCACCCTGAGCCCAGTTGAATATAAAGTAGTTCATCACCAGAGCTACTGCTGCCATTCGTCTGGAGCAGGCTTGCCTAACAGATTCCAGTGCCTTCTGTGCATGGCTAAACTCTGCCCAGCATCATTTCCTCACATCCGGAATGCCTTCGCTCTGTTACTTGAGACATCAGAGGAATTTTTCTCAGTGCATCCCAACGGCCGTTCACACACTTATCTTTGCCACAGTCGGGAGGCATGTCAGGCGCGGACGTCAATATCACCTGGGTCTGTGAGAGTGCTTCTCTACAGGGAGCTACACAGCGGCTGTAAACATCTGAGTCTGTTACGTTTCTTTTTCTTTATTGCAGTCCTTTGATATATATTCACTTACTCACTGTGCATTGCAGAAGTATTCATACCACTGAATTTTTTCATCCTTTGTTTACGTTATTGTATTGTATTTGTATTTTATGTGAAAGGCCAACAAAAAGTATTGCATAACTATACAGTGGAAGGACCCCTAATGCACCAGTCTGGAAGGTACGGCAAGCACAGTTTCCCCTCCCCTGGAAAAACAACGTTCTGCTGCATAATCAGCTGTTGGTTTATTTGCTGTCTGCCTGTACTAGCTTCTTAAATAGAACAGAATTTTACAATTCTTTTGCAGAATAGTTCAGTTGGAATAGCTGAGACTAGGGATGCACGATATTGGGATTTTGGCCGATATGCCGATATTTTAAAACTCATGTAGCCGATAACCGATATCGATACCGATGTTAAA